CCAGGAGCAGTCCTGTATCAGTCATCTTGCACATGATTACGGTGTCTTTGGTGTTTCTTGGAGTGAAATTATTGGTTTATAGGCTATGCAAGCTTCCAAGTTTACTGGATAATTGCCATTGTATTAAAGGACATGTACCAATTTACACTTTCCCCGGGAAAGCGTGGAGGTTCCTTCAACCTATACTTTGCCCAATACTTGATACTCTAAGGCTCCTCAATCGTTGACAATCAAATGAACACAAAACTGTATCTTATGTGGTCTTTATTTGCTTTTCCTTCATTGCTGAGGAGCTATAGCACCTGATCATACGATTATTGGTCAGTCTGTATTTTCTCTTTTGAAATGTCTTTTCATGATAAATACCTATTTTTCTATTAATTTGTTTGCTTTTGATTTGTAGGGATTCTTTGTACATTCCCTACACTTACCTTTCGTCGATTATAGGTGCTGCAGATACAATTTTCTACTTTTCAGTATCGTTTTTCACTTATTTAAAGTATATTTTATTGAATAGAGGTTCTTATTTTAATGTAAATTTTCTTATATAATTAATGATTTTGTCTTGTATAAAAATCTTTATCCCCAACATCAAAAAGATATTTTTGTTTATTTTATCCTAAAAATGTATAAACTTGGTATTTGACATTTAACTCTCCTTCATCTGAGGTAGGATTTGAAGATAGTGTGAGATAGGAATACAGTTTCTTTGTTTGTGTGTGTGTGTTTTTGTCTTTAAATTTTTTATTGTTATGTTATTCACCATACATTACATCATTAGTTTTTCATGCAGTGTTCCATGATTCATTGTTTGTGCATAACACCCAGTGCTCCACGCAGAACGTGCCCTCTTTAATACCCATCACCAGGCTAACCCATCCCCCCACCCCCCTCCCCTCTAGAACCCTCAGTTGGTTTTTCAGAGTCCATCGTCTCTCATGGTTCATCTCCCTATTCGATTTTCCCCCCTTCAAGGAATAGTTTTTACATTCCCGGGGTGACACCAATTTTTCTAGCTCCATGTACTGTTTTCTCTCCTTTCACCACTGAGCTCTTCTGCCTCCTCTGCCAGCCACCAGAGCTCCGTGTGTTTGTGGGTGTGTGTTTCCTGAGCTCTCTGTCCTTTTTCTCTTGCCCGTTTGTCTTCTCTCTATGCCAGTACCAGTGTCTGAGAGTCTATAATTCCATCACAGTACTGTTATCTGAGACGGTAGGTATCTTCCTTATTCTTGCCTGTTTGGTCTTCCCTACAAGTCCTACCATCAGACTATGAAGTTCCTTGATGACCCAGTTGCCATTTTATAGGGAATTGTACTGAATTTTTTTTTATTCACTTGGGTAGAATTGTCAGTTTTATATTATTAAGTCCCCCCTCCCCCGGGTTTTGTTGAGTAATGATGGACATACAGGCTTCCCCACTATGCAAAATTAGAGCGTTCCTGGGAAACTTTTCATTAGCCAAAATGGCATAAAGTGTAGAAGAAATTACTACTGATTTATATGGAAAATTTTTTGACCATTAATGTCTTCAAGTACAGTATTACCATTTTCTCATCTAGATCATGTGTACCTTGCGAGTCTTTTTACCAGACTGCTCCTCGGGCAAACCAGACTCAGTATGTCCAGCCCAGTCCTGCTCACCTCCTGCCTTATGAGCCTTGTCCTGGGAGGCCTCCCTGTCACCCCTGTCAGAACCTTGGGAATCCTGTTTCCTTCTCCTACCTTTCCCTGGATCCTCATCAGTACCATCTTCATGCTCTTGGTCCCTTTGTACATTCTGTCTCCTAAGGCTACTGTGCCCTTTGTACTTTTTCTGTGGTAATTCCTGTGATGCCAGTAGGACTTATATCATGGGCACCTCTTACTAGAAAACTCTGTTGGATCTCTTTCTGCACACAGTTAGCCATGCAAACTCAAGGCTAAGAACACAGAACTCCTAAGACTGCCAAGCCTGCCCAAGTCATCTGAAACTACTGGAAGTTCAGAGATTTCCCAGAACTACCTTCAGGTTCAATGAGTTGATAGAAGGACTCAAAAGCTTCCTAAAAGCTATTATACTGTACTTTCAATCATGTTTGTTCAAAGGCGCAACTTAGAAGAGGGGCCAGAGGTGTTCCAAATACAAAATTCCCGTGTCTTCAGTGACTTGTTACCTCCTGGCATCCTGTGTGACAATAGGTGCATGGATATTGACAACCCAGGAAATTGGCCAGAGCCTCAGTATTTTTATTGAGCCTTCATTACATAAGCATGATTGATTTGAGTCATTACCAGTGGGACTCAGTCTCTAGCCCTTTTTTCCTTTCCAGAGGTCCAGCTGATACCTCGTGGCTCAAAGCCTCAGCTTCCTAATTATATGGTTGGTTTTTCTGATATGGCCAGATCTTACCCTGAGTCATCTCTTCAGTATAAACTAGGGGCCCACGATGAGTTATGTGTTGTCATAAAGTATCAGGTGCATTCCTAGGCACCCACTATGAATGACAAAGACAGGTCTGTTGCTCTGGAACTAAACAGCATTGAGAGGTTACTTCCTTGGAGCTGGGACAAAGACCAAACTTCTTTTAGGGGAAAGTTAATTTTGCATTACACGCTTTCTGTCTTCTATCAATAGGGCTCCATTAGGTGCCCTTTCCTAGTGTTGTTACAGCAATGTCCTCACTTAGTGGAAACCAAACATACAGCATTCTTACTAGTCTGTCCGGCCGCATCCAGTATGGAATTGTAGTGGTGTCTCCATTCCAGACCTCTGTCCCCTCACCTAGCTTCTCCTGGGTCTCCCTTTCAAGGTGTCAACAGTCCAAGGCCCAGGGAAAAAAAAGAAATTGCAGTCCTGAGATTCAGAGGTAGTAAAACATCACAGACACAGACTCTGTTTTCGTCTTCATTTTTTTCACTGAAATGCTGATTTTGTTTTTTCTGTGTTGTCATTACTAACAGGTCTTTTTGTGTATTGGGTTTCTTTCAGGTGACAAGGGAAAACCCAAGACTACAGAACTTTCCCCTTGTGCACCAGCCCTGTCTGAGGGGGCCTTGTTCCAGGAACTAAGACAGGGAGACCCAGGGAATTTCCAGCTGGGCCAAACCAAGGATCAGAGTGGGCCATTAGAAATGCAGGAAGGACACTTGAGATCAGGGTTGGAACCCCAGAGGGAGAAGCTCCCTGAGAAAACAAGCCCTGAACCTGATGGTATATGTTCGCAAATTGCACAGGAGCTGATCCACTCAGGAGGTGCTGTCCATGACCATGACTCGTGTGGATCAGGTAAAGATCCCATGATTCAGGAGGAGGAAAATACCTTTAAGTGCAACGAATGCGGGAAAACTTTTAACAAGAAGCACCTTCTTGCTGGACATGAAAAGATTCACTCTGGAGTGAAGCCCTATGAATGCACTGAGTGTGGGAAAACCTTTATTAAGAGCACACACCTCCTCCAGCACCACATGATCCACACGGGGGAGAGGCCCTACGAGTGCATGGAGTGTGGGAAGGCCTTCAACCGCAAGTCATACCTTACACAGCACCAGCGGATTCACAGTGGAGAGAAGCCTTATAAGTGCAACGAATGTGGGAAGGCCTTCACCCACCGCTCCAATTTCGTCTTGCATAAGAGGAGGCACACTGGAGAGAAATCCTTTGTGTGCAAAGAATGTGGGCAAGTCTTTCGACACAGGCCAGGATTCCTTCGACATCACATCATCCACAGTGGTGAGAATCCTTATGAATGCTTCGAGTGTGGCAAGGTCTTCAAACACAAGTCATACCTCGTGTGGCACCAGCAGACTCACACTGGGGAGAAGCCCTATGAGTGCAGTGAGTGTGGGAAAGCCTTCTGTGAGAGTGCAGCCCTCATTCACCACTACGTCATCCACACTGGGGAGAAGCCCTTTGAGTGCCTAGAGTGTGGGAAGGCCTTCAACCACAGGTCATACCTCAAGAGGCATCAGAGGATTCACACTGGGGAGAAGCCTTTTGTGTGCACTGAATGTGGAAGGGCCTTCACCCACTGCTCTACTTTCATCTTGCATAAAAGGGCCCACACTGGAGAAAAACCTTTTGAGTGCAAAGAATGTGGGAAGGCCTTTAGCACTAGGAAAGACCTCATTCGACACTTCAGCATCCACACTGGAGAGAAGCCCTTCGAGTGCTCAGAGTGTGGGAAGGCCTTCAACCGCCGGTCTGGGCTCACGAGGCACCAGCGGATTCACAGTGGAGAGAAGCCCTATGAATGCATGGAGTGTGGGAAATCCTTTTGCTGGAGCACAAACCTCATTCGACATGCTATTATCCACACTGGAGAGAAGCCCTATAAGTGTAGTGAGTGTGGAAAAGCCTTCAGTCGCAGCTCATCCCTCACTCAGCATCAGAGGATTCATAATGGGAGAAACCCTGTCAGTGTAACAGAAGTGGGAAGACCCTTCACGAGTGGGCAGTCCTCAGTCACCCTCCGAGAACTCCTTTTGGGGAAAGACTTCTTGAATGTAACCACTGAGGAAAACCTTTTGCCAGATAAAACATCTACCATGGCATCTGATCGGACACACCAAAGAGAAACCCCCCAAGTATCTACACTGTGAGAAAATCTTCCATCCCAGACCATCAGTAATCACGTAGAGACGCATTTTAGAGATTGACTCAGCCCAGAGCCTTATTCTGCATCTGAGAATTCATCCGTGAGGGAGAGAGCAGTGTTTATTGTGCATGAAGTAAAACCTTCACCTACATGTTTCTCCTTAGTTTACACTGCAGTGTTATCTCAGGAATTTTTATAAAAAGAAGGTGGAGATGTAGAAGAGCAAATGAAATGAAAAACTTTGGAGACTTCTCTGTCCAGCTTACAGCACTTTGTCATGGATTCCTTAGTTTACTTGGGGCCAGGGAGATGTTTCAGAGGCAGTGGACCTTGACCCTGTATGTGTAATGTATATACATTCATTGCTGTCCAATGTCAGGAGGGTTAGACAGTTGAGGACAAGTTATTAAAGTGATAAATATACACATAACACATTTTATTGTACCAGTTAAGACTCTAAAGCTTACATTTTTAGAAAACTGTTATTTGGTGTTAAACACCAAACAGACTTTTTCAGACTTGTTCTTGATCCAGTCTATTTACTTAATTTCTGTAGCTATATGGTAAACCTCAAAATTGGGTAAAGTGATTCCTCTTTATTCTTACTTAAATTGATTTAGTTTTGCTAATTCCTTTGACATTTCATATGAATCTTAGGATGCAAAGAAATCTTGCATTTTTATAGGAATTGATTGAAATCTGTAGATATGTTTGTTGAAAAGCAGCATCATGAACACCGTACATGGTATGCTAAGTAATTCTTGATATTTCACTACTGTTTTATAATTTTCAACTTAACAGGTTCTGTACATTTTTGTTAAGAGTTGTATCTAGGGTTTTGTTTTTTTTTTTTTTGAATGATCATAAATGGCATTGATATCTACAGTTTCATTTTTCCATATGATCTTTAGTAGTATGCAGAAAGATAATTGTTTTTGGAGTGATAACTTTGGTGTCCTGCAACCATGGTGACATTTGTAGACATTTCTTTGGGTAGAATCCTCAGGCTTTTCTGTAAAGACATGTCTGCTGCATAGTCTTTTTCCTCCTTCCCATCTGTATATCTGTTACTTTACCTCACTGCACTAGTTGGACTTCCAACGTGATGTTGAATAGTAGTAAGAAAGGATGCCCTTGACTGATTCCTCATATTAAGAGGAAAATGTTCAGGTTTTCATCAAGTGTGATGTTAGTTGAAGGTTTTTTGTCTTGTTTTTTAAGTTTTCTTATCAAGTTTAGAAAATTTCCATCTATTCTTAATTTGCTGAGTTTTTTTTGTTATGAATGAGTGTTAGAGTTTTTCAAATGCTTTGCCTCCATCAGTTGATGTGATCATCTGATTTTTCTTCTATAGCCTGTTGATATAATGTATTACATTGACTAGTTTTGAATATTGAACCAGCCTTGCATCCTTGGAATAAATCCCACTTGGTTGCAGAGTATAAATTTTTTTTATATATATAATATATATTAAAACATTCCATTTGACTGTATTTTGTTGAGGTTTTCCTCTAATTTCTTTTTTTTTTTTTTTTTACCATTTTAACCATTTTAATTGTACAATTCAGTGGCGATTTCCTCTAATTTCTTGAATTCAGAATAATTTTGATGTTGGAGATATTGGATAGTTTGAAGTTTGTCCTTTTCAAGGAATTGTTCCATTTCATCTAAATTTTCTAATTAGTTTATAGACTTATTTCCTTATTACTCTTTTAATGGGAGCAGGATCTATACTTCTATCCCATTTGATTCCTGATTTTGGAAATATGTCCACTCTCTTCCTATCTTTGTCCATCTTCTTAGGCATTTATCAATTCTGATCATATTGGAGAATCAGCACTTTATTTCATTGATTTTTCTCTTGCTATTCATAATTTCACTAATTTCCGTTCTCATCTTTATATCTTCTACTTTGGTTGTATTTTGCTCTTTCTTTTTTCTTTTCTAATGTAAGCATTTAGTACTATAAAGTTTTCTCACAGCATTGTGACAGCTTCATCCCATAAGTTTTCATTACAGTTTCTTCAGCTCTAATGTTTCTCAATTTCTTTATAGAGACTTTAATGGGTTCATGGATTATTATTTAGGTTTCTAGTGTTTGGAGTATTTTTGTTATCTTTTGTTACTGATTTCTAGTTTGGTCTGTTTAAATTTATTGAAGTGTTTATGACCCAAGATACAGTCTATTTTATTGAATGTTCTAAAAGGCCTCCTGAAAAGAATGTTGTTCTGCTGTCATTGGGTGGAGTTTCTATAAATGTCCGCACAATCCTCTTGGTTGGTAGTAGTATTCAAATTTTCTATATCCTTACTGACTTTCTGTTTAGTATTTCTGTCAATTCCAGAGAGAGAGATGATGAAGTCCTGATGTAGAACTGTCCTGAAGTATAACTGTCTGTTCATCTGTTAAATTCTGTCGTTTTTCTGGGGTGCCTTGGTGGCTCAGTTGTTTAAGCATCTGCCTTCAGCTCAGGTCGTGATCCCAGGGTCATGGAATGGAGCCCCACATCGGGCCCCCTGCTCAGCAGGGAGCCTGCTTGTCCCTCTCCCTCTTCCCTGTGCCTGCCACTCTCTTTGTGTGCTCTCTTGCTCTCTCAAATAAATAAATAAAATCTTAAAAAAAAATTAATCTATCATTTTCTGCTTCAGGTATTTTATTTTTTTTTTAAAGATTTTATTTATTTATTTGAGAGACAGAATGAGAGAGAGAGAGCACGAGATGGAAGAGGGTCAGAGGGAGAAGCAGACTCCCTGCTGAGCAGGGAGTCTGATGCGGGACTCGATCCTGGGACTCCAGGATCATGACCTGAGCCGAAAGCAGTCGCTTAACCAACTGAGCCACCCAGGTGCCCCTGCTTCAGGTATTTTAAAGCTCTGTTGTTTGGTGCATTCCCATTTAGTATTGGTATATTATCTTGGTGTGTTGACCCTTTCATTATGTGATGTCCCTTTTTGTCCCTGTTCATTTTCTCACCTTTGAAGCATACTTTGAGTGATATTAACATAGTCCCTACTGCATTTTTTTTAAAGATTTTATTTATTTATTTGAGAGAGAACACAAGCCGGGTAAAGGACAGAGGGAGAAGCAGACTCCCTGCTGAACAGGGAGCCTGACGTGGGACTCGATCTTGGACTCTGGGATCATGACCTGAGCTGAAGGCAGACGCTTAATAACCGACTGAGCCACCCAGGCGCCCCCCCCCACTGCATGTTTTGATTAATGTTTGCATGGTTTATATTTTTCCATAATTTTATTTTCAACTTTATCTGTATCATTACATTTGAAGCAAGTTTCTTGAAACAGCATATAGTTGGGTCTTAACTTTTTTATCCATTCTTCTACTTTTTATGTTTTAATTGGTAGATTTATATCACTTAGATTGAAAATAATTATTGGTATGTTAGGGCTTAAGTGTACTGTTTTTTAATTTGTTTTGTGTGTTCCCTTTATAGCATTCATCTTGTTTTCTGGTTTTTGTTATGTTGCTTTTCTGTTTTGTGTTTTTTGTTTGTTTGTTTTTCCCTCCTGTGGGTTACTTCAGCATTTTTTAGAATTCCTAGTATATCTATAACATTTTTGAGTGTTGTCTTAATTTCTGTGTCTAGGTATTATACATACATAAGTTATCACAGTCTAGTATTATCAGCATTTTAGCACTTTGATGTATAGAAACCTTAATTCCATGAGGTTCCTTTACATTTTCTGGGTTAAATATAATTCTAAGTATTTTCTCTTTATACACTGAGCACCAATTCGGATGTTACAATTTGTGCCTGGGCTGTGAAAACATTTTTTACAAAACTCACGAAAAGTATGCTGTTTACCTGTTACCCATTGCATTGTTCTTTCTCCCTGCTCCCTCCTTCCTCCCTTCTTTCTCCCCTCTTGAAGTCCTAGGCCTTCTGTTAACATGTCCCTTCAGTTTGGCAAATTTACTGTAGCCTTTTTTCTGGGGTGGGTCTGCTGTTGACAAAGGACTTTGTTTTCCTTCATCTAAAAGATTTTCTATGTCCCTTTCATTCCTGACAGATGTTTTTGTGGGAGAGAAGACTTTGGGTTTACAGTTCTTTTAGTACAAGAAGAACATGTTACTTCCCTGTGTTCTCCGTGGTTTCAGATGAAAAACTTTACTGTGCTGCATCCTTTCTGTCAAGTGCTTTTAAAGTGTTTTTGTCTATAGAATTCATCAGTTTGCTTACGATGTGTCCTGGCATTGAATTTTTGGTTTTCCTGTTTAAATTTGTTTACCTTTTTAAATCTGAAGATACAGGTCCTTTGCCAAATTTGGGGGATTTTCAACAATTATGTCTTCAAATAGCTTTTCAGCCCTACTCTTTCCTTTCTTTCAGGGACTCGAATTAAATGAGTTCTCAGATTTTTTGTTTATCCAGTCTGTTTTCTCTCTTTTACTCAGATTGATCAATTTCCATTGATTTTTTTTTTAAGATTTTATTTATTTATTAGCACAAGCAGGGGGAGCAGGAGAGGGAGAAGCAGGCTCCCCATTGAGCAGGGAGCCCAAAGTGGGCCTTGATCCCAGAACCCCAGAATCATGACCTGGGCCACCCAGGCACCCCTCCCTTGATCTTTCTTTGAGCTCACTGATTCTCTTTTCTCTGATTTCCTCTCCTGCTGAGCTTATTCACCGAGTTTTCATTTTGGCTGCTGCTTTTTTTTTTGTTTTTTGTTTAATTTCTCGTTTGTTTTTTTTACATTTTCTATTTCCTTGCCTAAGTTATAACACCAAAGAAGGACTCTTAGAAAACAGGCAAAACGATGTAGTCCAAAGTCAGGATTCTCTGGTGGTTTATCTTGATGCTGGAATAGAAATCCTAAAGTATCTGGAGAAATGGAAGTTCTTTTGTCCACAAATATTTCTAAAAATGGGTCTTAAAACTGAAGGTGATCTGCAGATTACTCAGGGTTCTAGTCTTCAGGGGAGATTTGTGTGTAAAATTCCCTAGCTCTCTAAGCCTTGTTAGAGCCCCAGAGGAGAAGGGGTCACTTCAGGGATCACTCTTCTGTGGCTGGACACATACCCCAACCCCCAGTTTGTCTAGGACCTCTTTCCTGTATACCCTCCCTGCTTGGTCTTTAACTTCTCCCTCTTAATCCCCTTCTGTCCTCTTAATCTATACCGTGTTCAAGTCTCTAGTCTTGCCCCCAGGCACTTTCTACCCCACATGCCCAGTGAGCTGTGCCCTTCTCTTTTCTCTCTCAGACACACCCTGTGTCACTGTCCACTGTCTGTCCCCACCCCCTCATGACCCTTCACCCCACTGACAACTAAACAGTGGTCTCCACCACTGTCACCTGACTTAGGCAAGTCTCACAAAGTTCCCTCTTGTCCCCCCAGCTTCTGCACTGCCCCTTCTCGACACACACAGTCTGTTAGTGG